TAGTAACAAAAAATATCTTATAAAGATTTGAAAATACGTGCGCTACGGGGCACTTTTGAACGAATTTGGGACAACTCTTACTAATAAGCATTATTACATAAAATAGTTTTTCATTGTTATCGCGGCAATCTCATTGGCTAAAAATTAACATGGTATAATCTAGTTTTCTCACCTGGAAAACCAGTTTCTTATTGATTTATTTACTTATTTTATTTATTTATTTTTTGTTATTATCAAATAATTAATATAAAACTTATCAAGAAATTTTTATCTGAAAAATATTTCTTTATAAAAATGCAAAGGTTAATTGTATTTGATATTTATGAATCATAGTATTATCTACTATAATTACGTTTAAGATTTCGATGATTGTTTTTACATTATTGCTATTCAATGAAATAAAGGAATGGAAACTAAAAGATTTATTTCTTTATTTGATGGCATATGTACCCACTTTGGGGCAATTCTTGAGACTATTTGAGAAGGGTCATTAAAACAAGATGTAATTATTATAGTAGATTAGTATAAGAAACACGTTCTTAAATGCTCTAGTTTCATAAAAAAGTACTTTCAGCGTTTCGAACTCAGTACATAATATTTGCTACAAGGGTCATTTCTTTTAAATAAAATTCTACTTTTATTTATTGGAAAAAAGGGAAAACAACTTTATCTACCAATAACAAGCAAGTACTGTAATGACACTATTGACCTTTGTACTAATATGTAATTTTTGTGCCCTTGCGTCTTCCCGGAATTTCATTTAAAAGTTGATATTCTTTCATTTAATTAAATATGCATTTTCGTTTTCACTTTTAAAAAAAAAATCGGAAATTAAACGTATAAAAACTTTCAAGGATTTGATTGTTTTTGTTAGATTTTCTTTAGTGATCTAGTTTTATTGAAATGTTTTAATAGAGCGGAATATTTTTAAGTTTATTTGAGTAATTTATGTTCTGTAAATCTCAACTCACGGACTTCGTGCTTCGAGTTTTGTACTCTTTTCTTTTAATAAAATTCGCTTCGAAAACAATTGATTTTTTTTCAATTTATATTACAATTTCAAATAGAGAGTTTGCCTTCCAATGAGGAGAATCGAGTGTTAGCGATGACTAGTTGATAAAATTTCCGCATCTGACTTGCACCTACGACAGTGCACCTATCCTCAGTGGTAGGCGGATTTTGGGTTAGAGTCCCCTTGCCATCAGGCTAACCGTGGGAGATTTATGAGGTTTTCCTCGCCATGTAACTCAAATGCTGGTTTGTTCCATCAAAAAAATCCTCTACGCTGGCATATTTCTCCCGATACTTGATCCAGGAGTTCCCTTGTCTTCTGGATGGGTTCAAAAGACTACGGAGCTGAACATTAGTATTCGTAAACCCAAAAAATTGGGTCGGCTTTGCAGTGAGGGTTATAAAATAAAATAAAATGCAGCTAGGAAATAAACAAAATATTCATATACTTTTCCCTGTGTCCTAAAATCTATTAAAACACAATGAAAAATTATGCGAAAAAAGGTGTGCTTTCTGTTAAGGCTGAAATTATAAGCAACTTATTTCTGTTGATAAAATGTCTCTCCAATTAATGTGTAAATAAAGTAGTCCTCTCAAGGTTTTGCATGATTTTTAAACTCCGTTACCAAGGTTTCGGAAAATCTTACTTATTCTCACGCAATATATTTCATCTTCTAAATTAGAACCGTGGTTTCTCAAGGAAATGGAACGTTCGCCTCCCAATGAGGTGACCAGGTTCGAATTCCAGCTGTGGCTGATTGATACGAATTCTTCTCCCGGCTCGCACCGATCACCGTGCTGACGTAAAAATATCTTCAGTCATGGGTTAGAGTCCACTCACCATCGGGCTAACCTTTTGAGATTTTCGTAGTTTTCCACCCCAAGTTAATGTAAAAACGGGTTAGCCAAATCAAAAAATCCTCCATGAAGACTAGTATGTCCCATAGTTTGATCCAATCCCCTAGTCTTTTAGGTTGGATTCAGAATTACAAGGCTCGGAGTGAAACATTGATAGTCGTAAACTCAAAATTGGGTCGGCTGTCAAACGCCACAGTTATAAAATAAAATAAAAACTCTTAAATTAAACGTACTACCATGCGGAAGAAGCAAAATTTACCGAAACCATAGTAACGTAGAGAGGAAAAGTATGGAGCTTCGGAAAATCGCGTAACTTGAAATGCTACTTAATATTTACATCGAGTATAAGTACCAAGAAATAGGGTTAATTTGTGACACTTTTTAAAGTTTTTTTATACATATATATATATTTTATAAATTACAATGTAAAGTTTTAAATATTTTATAATATATCTGCTCCTTTTTTTTCCTTTCTGGTAAGTAAAACATTATTCTAAATAATTAGAATTATTTTTAAAAAAAAAGAAGAAAAGCTTATTTGTAACACATCCTCCAACTTAGCACCAAATTTATCACCTTAAAATCGTCTAACACTTTATTGTATCACACTGTAAATCTTTTTGATAGCAAATATAAAGAAATAATTTTTTGAATTACTAAAATCTTCTGTTAGTAATTTAAAAAAAGAAATAACTTCAATATCAGAAAATCCGAACCAAAAAATATTAGATTTAATTTAATAGTTATTAGTAGAATATAAACAACTATATTTTTTGTTCCAGTAGAGTATTATGCGTGCAATTTTTATTAATCTTGTTGCTATCGTTAAAAATTATACTTTGAAATTAACATCAAGCAAATTAATATTAGAAATTTTGTTGGGAAATGAGGTTTCTTCTATTTGATTTCTTTTGTAATTGACTTCTTAGTTCTACATCTTATTAACCTTTACAAAGGATGATATTGGTGTATGCAAAGCCTCAAAATACAGTTTATTGAACATTTTTAGTGCCGGATGAAGCGTAGGCGGGGCCCTTAGATCAAATTTTTTTTCTCGTATATTTCTTATTTATTCAAATATAAAAGTATTTATGTATCTTTTCATTTAAGAAAGCATATTTAAAATAAAAATAAATTATAACACATTAAATTTTACTTTATTTTGTTAAATTAGAACTGAATAATAATCATAACATTTTGAAACAATTTGAAATTTGTTAACACTTTACAAAATCACCGCTACTATATTTTTGGTATTCAAAAATCTTTTTTTTCTGCTCTTGCGATTAATAAACTCATCTATAATGTTATCAAAATCACGGAGAACATCTGATTCGCGATAAACATCAAACTTAGCGTGTCTAATCGTTTTCGAAACTTCTTTGCTCACTCTTGATTCGTTGCATTCTTGAAAACGAGAGCTCCTTAAAACAATTTGTTATCATAATGCGAAGGGCAGTTTCAACATTTGGAAAAACAGATCCAAGTTTGTCTTGAAATAAAGTTTCTGAATGAGTGAACTGAGTTTTTGAGGGAACTGCTTCAGTTCAGAATAAAAATCAGAACAGAACTGAAATAAGTAGAACTAAAATAAGTTCACTTATTTTAGTTCAGTTCAGAACTAAAATAAGTAATAAATAAATATGATTCTCATTATGTAAAAAAATGATTGCATTTTATTAATATATATTTGAAATGGATTTTTTTCAAAAAGTCATTGTTTTCTTTTAAATTTTTTAAAATTTATCTTCAAAAAATCCATTTTAAGGGGGCCCCTAATCATTGGGGGGCCCCAGTCCATGGCCTAGTCTGGCCTCATGGATAATCCAGCACTGATCATTTGGCTATCTCAACCTTTTCTTAAACACTTCTCCTATCAATTATTTTGAAGAAAAAAAATGCAAAAAAATCAACATATTTTTTTATTTTATTAATAAATGCAAGGAACTAAAACAAATTTTAAGTTGAAATTTGAATATTTTTTATGTATAAGAAACATTTAATTTAAAATCAGTTTACTAGCCCGAGTTATCAAGGGGAAAAGGAAGAAAAAAATAGTGCGTGGAGTCCCTCCGCGAGGAAGAAGTTAAAACTTCGCAACCTGCGACGTTAATTGTAGAAGAATTCGCAGTCGTAGAAGGATCACTAGTTCTATTCAACGACTCTTTTTCCTGCTCCGCTCGCTTCCGTGCTCTGTAATAACGGTAATATTGTACATTTTTCCCTCGTGGACCTCTTGAACCAGTGGAAGTGCTTGTGGTTGCCTCATCGTCTCGCCCTGGAAAATGTATTTGTATTAATAATGTATGTGAATGCGTCATAATGTAATTTCAGAAGAGAAAACCTAACAATCAATTGATATTCACAAGAGACGTACCTTGACATAACCTTAAATCCGTCGCATTGTCCGTGGGATTGTTTTCACTCATTTTTTACAATTGTTATCCACTAAATTTGAAAATAAAAAATACTACCCTATTAAATTATATGTGTATCAAAACAAACTAAAAAAATATTTATAGAAAAACAATACTTTTATGACTTTTATTATTTTTATGCTAGTGAGAACCAAAACAATATGGAAATGAATGAGGGAAAACTGGATCCTACCACGTGATTTCCCGGCCAATAAAAATGTAGCGTTAAACGTTTAACGCAGCCTTGTTGGAAGTCGCATAAGAAATATAACTTCAAAAGTTAAATATGCAGGATAGTAAGGGACAATACAAAGTGATCCTTTTTCAAACGTCAGTGACGCCTCTTATTGCTATGTCAATTTAGCAATAGCACAAAACACGTGTGCAATCCAACATCAAAACTCTCAAATAAAACTTAACCAATCACAGCAGATGATGTTTTTTTTTTTTTGAAAAACGAGATAACGAGTCAAAACGTGATAAAACAAAATGCACTGACACATTCTGCTAAGCCCGAATTTTCTAGTGATGATAAATATTTGCAATATATACGGACCCGAGTTAACCCGGGATAATCAAGGGAAGCGATTCATGTCAGAAAGAAACATTGATCACCTCTCAATTTTGTTGTTTCGTTATTATATTAAATAAGACTAAAATACTTTTGATGTTTATGTTTGTTGATGTTACATGATGTTATGTTTATGTTTGTAGAAGGGGAGGGATGGACGGCGGGTGGGGATGGATGGTTGTGATTGGATCCTTCATGTGCAACGTCATTGTAGATGGAATCATATTCTCGTACGGTCTCTTTCTGCCTGAACTCGCCAAGGACCTCGACGAATCCAAGGGTCGACTGGCATGGGTCGGATCACTTCTGGCCGGTTTCTATCTCATTGCAGGTACAGTATCTCTCACGAATCACTGATTCTTTTAGTTCCCAGCAGATCACAGAAGTCAAACATCACTGGCTGAAGTCAGTGTGCGGTTGGGTGACCACTTGTATTTGTCTGCGTAGGAACCGAGGGTGTGTGGTATGGGCCCTCGTTAAACTGCTCTACCGTAAAGTGCTTGCCTTCGCGTGCAGGTCGTCGGGCTACCGAAGCGGGGGTGCCATCCCCTCTGATCAAAATTGTGATGATATGTCTTCGGATCTACAGGTATGTCTCCTTGACCATCGCCAATAATGCAGCTCTAGAGCGGCGCAAATAAAGTATTACTACTTTATCGTAAAGGGCTATTTTCACTACATGTGATTTATGCACCTCCATCAAAAGAAAATGATAGCTAGATTGGGGAAATATAGTTGGCTGTAGTTCATTTATGTCGCACTGGAGCTGCTCAATGGGCTATATACGACAGTCTGGAAAACATCCCTGTGGATGATCCGAAGACATGCCATCACAATTTTTATCTCTGCAGAGGGGATGGCACCCCCGCTTCGGTAACTCGACGACCTGCACGCGAAGTCGAGCACTTTACGGTAGAACAGTTTAACGAGGACCCATACCCCACACCCTCGGTCCCTACGCAGACCGATCCAAGTGGTCACCCCCCCACCCGCACGCTGACCGCAGCCAGTGATGCTTGACTTCGGTGATCTTCTGGAAACCGTGTCTTAACGATCAGCGGGATTTGGGGAAATATTTTCACCCGCTAAAAACTAACCAGTTGCAGGTTTTTCTCTTGAAGTTGGATAGTATGCTGATTGGTCTCTTGTAACTTTTTCTTTTCATTCCAGGTCCCATTGTAAGTGGATTGGCGAACACTTATGGCACTCGACCTGTTACCATCATCGGGACTGTGATATCGTCTGCGAGTTTTGCAGTATCCTCCTTTTCTACGTCCATCGGTCAACTATGCCTCAGTTTCGGAGTCATTGGAGGTAACTGACAGCAAATCGTTCTTTAGGGGCCGTTCAAAATATATTTCCTCAACGGGTTCAGTGATTTGTTTATATTTTCTGACAAGAAGACCCTAACATCCTTTCATTTCCAATTTTATTTTGAAATAAATGTTTTAAAAAAGGATAAAATGTTTAAGAAAAATTCAATGAGTATACTTTTAAAAAAAAAATTTTAAAAACATAATATTTGCTTTATCTTGTAACAGAAAAAATCTCTAGCTAACAATTAAAGTTTAAAGAAAGGGGCTTTCAAACAGAAGCTTGTCAAGACTTGTTATTTGCTTATTTTTGCTGACAAGGGGAAAAGTTCAAAAATGATAAAAACATAATTACGTGATATTTGAACGACTCCTTCAGTATCCTAACCCATAAGTCAATTATTGTTTACAATTACTTCACAAAAAGTTTTGATAACAACATTTGTGTTGTGTGATTGATTGCTTAAATAAGAAAAGAAATCGAAGACAGGTATTTTAAAATAAAATAATTTCTAAACAAAAAAAACTCTTCATAAAGATATGTATTTAAAATTCAGAAGCACCAGAAATAATTATCTTCTCATACAAAAAAACTTTTTCGATCATTTTTTTTTACTGAAAATAATAATAGAAAATAAAATCTGCGGAAATTTAGTATGCTTGTAAAATCTGCTCTTGTTGGATATTTAAAAAATTTTGATTTTGTTGAAATTTTCAAGGATCTGTTCCTTATGTAAAACTATTAGACACTGTTTTTATTTAATTTTTTTTTTTACGAAAAACATTTTTTTTTCCAGAGTCGAAGCAGAAGGTCCTCTAAAATGTTGAGAAAAACACACGCGATAATAATTTTTGTGAACCGCAGCACTGGATATTTCGTACTGGCGGGCGTCATAAGGGTTCGTTTTGAACCTTATTCGCTTCTCTACCTACAGTCTGTCTGGTCAAATTATTCAACGCACTCATAAGATTTTATGTTAAATCTTAATTATGATATGTGATACTATACAGTCTTATTGTTTTTCTGCTGGTGAAGCATGTTTGCACTTGTTTAACTTATGTATCAACTGGCTTACATTGTAATGCAATACATTAAAAATACACACAAATTGGAAGTATACAAAAAGTATACTGAATAAAAACACATTACATGAGAGTTTCATTATAAAAGTATTGCCTATAAGCGCGTGCCAATCATGTCATTATTAAAAAGAACTACAGTACGTCTCGTAATTGTATCTCATTATTATAATATACTAATATAATGCTTTATATAATAAATATTCTATATTTATATAATATATCGTCTTATTTTACCAACTGATGCACGAATATAAACTAGAGCAAACAGCGCGTAAAAAACTGTAAAGCTGTATAGTATCACCTCATCGTTAAGATTTTACGTCCCGCAGTGGACAGATCGTTAAGACACAGTTCCCAGCGGATCATCGAAGTCAAGCATCACTGATTGCGGACGGGTGACCACTTGTATCAGTCTGCGTAGGGATCGAGGGTGTGCGGTATGGATCCTCGTTAAACTGTTCTACCGTAAAGTGCTCGACTTCGCGTGCAGGTCGTCGGGCTACCGAAGCGGGGGTGCCATCCTCTCTGCATTGGATCAAAATTGAGATGGCGTGTCTTCGGATCATCCTCGGGAATGTTTCCCAGACCGTCGCCAATAGCCCATTGCGCAGGCTCTAGTGCGACTACAAACATTAAAATTAAGATTTTACATAGAATCTCAGAGTGCGTCTAATATTTCGGACAGGTAGTGTATCTTCGACTTGTTGTGATTGGATCAAGACATTTCAACCTGGTTGAATGATTGTTTCAGGTATTGGTTTCGGTTTCATCTACCTTCCAGCTGTGGTGACTGTGGGATTCTACTTCGAGAGGCGACGGGCACTCGCTACTGGACTAGCAGTGTGTGGATCGGGTGTGGGAACATTTGTGATGGCTCCTTTGGTTCAGTTCCTGCTCATCCGATTTGATTGGAGGGGGACCATGCTCATCCTGTCCGCCATCGTACTGAATTGTGCTCTCTTCGGGGCCCTCTTTCGACCCCTGCCACCCCCCAAACAAGAGGCACCCACCCACGTCTTCAGGAAGAAATCCTTTGTTGGTCTGACTGCTGTTCCCCACTCGACGGTCAGCCTTCCCGAGGTACGCTTTTTTTAATTCTTTATTTTATATTTTATAGCAGTAGTTGAACAGCCGACCCAATTTTTGAGCTAACGACTCTTCGTGTCCGTCGCCTTCTCATTCTGAATCCAATCCAGAAGACAAGGAAACTCCTGGATCAAGTATTGGGTGACATTTGCCTTCGTGGAGTGCTTTTTGATGGAAATAACCAGCATTTGCGTTACATGTAGAGGAAGACCACGAAAACCTCCTGCGATCGATGGCAAGGGGACTCTAACTCATGATCCGTCTACCACTGAGGATATTTCACGTCGGCACTGCGGTCGGTGCAAGCCGGAAGCGGAATTCGTATCGACCAGCCATCGCCGGGATTCGAACCCGGTTCACCTCATTTGAAGGAGAACGCTTTATCCCTGAGCCATCGTGGCTCTTAGTTATTTATTTAAAGCTCAATTAGATTAGAAGATATTTTGAACATTGACAATTAAAAAAGAAACTAAAAAAAATCAATAGGTCAAATTTAACGGTCGCCTTCGACCTCAGAGCGACTAAATATAAAAAATGACAATTCATCGCCATTTTTTCCCCGCAGAAAATGTACTCTATGTGCTTTTGACATCCCGTATTACTTCAATATGCTAGAAATCTGTAATGACCAAAAGGTACAGGTTTTTACTGGAGCTCAAAATGTCAGAGGAACTAAATTTGGTTGTCGTACGTTTTATAAATGGTAGGTTTAATAGAAATGTTCAAACCAGAGACTGAACAACATCACTGAGTGGAATAAGTCAATGAATTGTCGTTTGAATCATTCCTATTGGTCAATTTATATTCTCATCCCAATAGAACCTATTGATTGTTATCTGTAACTCGTTGACCATTGATGGGTTTTTAGTGGACAGGTAAATGAAGTAGCATTAGCTCAGACATTTTTATAAATACAAAACGTTTCTTCATTTCTAATTAGAAATTTTAAAACTGTACATTTTTTAATGCGATTAAATTATTCTTATTAATTTGCATTTCATATTAAAAAAAAAGAAGTTTTTAAATTGAAGGATTCTTATGGATTTTTAGCCGATGGTTTAGTCTTTAGCAACTTCTGCAGAAGAAGCATTTCAGCACTATTTTACGTTCAGCCATTAAAAATATAGCAACCATTTCTGATAAAGTTCTCAAATGGTATGAAACTAATTTATTTACCGAGACAGTATAACATCAACAAGAAAGAAAGAGCATAGCTTTTGTTGTTGTTGCTGGCCCACACGGTTAGCGGAGCTAAACCAAGTCCATGACTCCAGAGACTCTGAGTAAGTCTGTAACAAAAAGTGGATCTGAAAAGAGGTCTACTTTAGAGATATTTAGGCATTGAAGTATATGTTCAGGANTAAATGAAGTAGCATTAGCTCAGACATTTCTATAAATACAAAACGTTTCTTCATTTCTAATTAGAAATTTTAAAACTGTAAATTTTTTAATGCGATTAAATTATTCTTATTAATTTGCATTTCATATTCAAAAAAAAAAGTTTTTAAATCAAATTGAAGGATTCTTATGGATTTTTAGCCGATGGTTTAGTTTTTAGCAATTTTTGCAGAAGAAGCATTCAAGCATTTCAGCACTATTTTACGTTCAGAAATTAAAAATATAGCAACCCTATCTGATAAAATTTTCAAAAAGGTATGAAACTAATTTATGAACCGAGGCAGTAAAACATCAACAAGAAAGCAAGAGCATAGCTTTTTCAGTCGTTTATTGTAATATCAATTTCAGTCGTATTCCTTGCATGATTGGAAAAAAAAGAGGCACTCGACTGGAAGGCGTATAATATCTATATTAGATGCCCAATAATTTATTTTGCCCACATAACCTCACAAACTTTTAAAGATAGAACCCAAGTTGAAACGAAATTTCAGCCAAAATTTGTAACATTCTATCCAATTATTCTGACCACCAAAGTCGTATTCATAAAGAAACTTAATGAGATCAAATTTTGACAGGTTTCATTTGATCGATTTATTCTGGAAATCAACTAGTTCTGAACATTTACCCCAATTTAATGCACTTTGAAGCTGAATGTTAGCCCAATGAAATCGCACCTAATTATTCTAACCAAAATTAATCTGAAAAAAAAACATCACATTTTCTACAGCTTTATTGTTTTTACGCTGCTGAAACCGGTTTGCAGTTGCTTATGTTTGTGCATTAATTGGTTAACATTGTAATACAATACGTTAAAAATAAATATATTTAGGAAGTATACATAAGAATCTCCTCTATAAAAACGATCTCGTATTAAAACACTACAGTGCATTTAATAATTTTGTCTAATTATTATAATGTAGTAATATAATACCTGATATAATAACCATTCTATATTTATATAATATTAATTTCATCAATTTATACACGAATGTAAACAAGTACAAATCGGTTTCAGTCTCGGTAAAAAAAAAGCTGTGACCTGTATCACCCTGTAATTAAGATTTCACATAGAATCTTAGAGTGCGTTGGGACTATTAGAGCAACTTCTACCATACGCGAATTGCATGAAGTGACTAAAGCTTCCCGACCATTTCATTAAACCTATATAGAGCAGCGATGGGATAGAGCGTTCCCGGTGATCCGAATCCCAGTCGATACGAATTCCGCATCCGGCTTGCACCAATCCTATCTTCAGTGGTAGGCGAATTAGTAGTTAGAGTCCCCTTACCGTCAGCCTAACCGTGGGAGGCACTCGTGGTCTTACTCTACGTGTAACGCAAATGTGGGTTGTTCCGTCAAAAAGTCCTCCACGAAGGCAAATTTCTCCCATTACTCGATCCAGGAGTTCCCTTGTCTTTTGGATTGGGTTCAAAATGACAAGGCTACGGAGGTGAACATGAGATGAGTACTCTTAAAACCATAAAATTGGGTTCAACGAGGGTTATAAAACGATCTACATCAAAGATGTTTTACTTTGCAGATGTCAACACTGGGGAAGAAGTTGTACTCGAGCATTCCAATCACCGACAACAGTCCTCCTCCTTCTTACAGGGATGTGGTCGAAGGTGACTGTCCGGGATCGCTGCAAAAGATTAATCACTTAAAAACGAACATTCGACCTTTCTACCGCCAAGATATTCTGTATAGCGCCAGCCTCTTCCACCTTCCCGAGTTCCAGAAGTCAAATAACAATTTAAGCCTATACGCTGCCAGCGTCACAAAAATCCCGATCGAGGAAGAGGGTTGCTTCTCCCTGGCCATGAAGGACACTTTCAGGTATGGATTACTTAACACTAAACAAACTTTTGCTTCGAAAATGATCTTATCGCTTTTGCACGTTTGACTTCATGACTTTTTAGAACAATTATATGGAAGAATTTACCCAGACCCGCCCTTATTTAGGGCATACGGGTAAATGTTTATTAAAATCAAAAAAATCCAGAGAACAGTACAAACATAAATTACATAAAATACGCATCAGACATGGCAACAGCCCATGAACATGGCGGGCGTAGAACTGCTAAAATCATGTAAGGTGATAAACATTAAGACAGCAATATATTAAAAGTGTCAATTAAAAGAATAATTTAAAAGAGCAATTTAAGAGATAGACGTGCAAAATTTACAAGAGAACAATATTGTAAAACATTACTTTTAAAACCAATTAAACAGTACAAAAGTAAATAACAATAAAATTGGAGCAAGTAAAAGAAGAATAGTTCATAAAAGACATAGTAAAAAAATGAGACACCCAAGCTGGAAGGAACAAGTTCCGAGACATTAAAGACCGTCCCCCAATACATCCTCTAAAGTTTGTTTAATAATCTTTTTTATGATATTTCTACAAGTCAGGTTAGCATAGCATTGATGTTGGCCAATATTATTAAAGTTATTGCCCCGGATTGTCTGGAATTGAGAACAATTTATTAACAAGTGATCAATAGATTGATATTCACCACAGTAATTGCATTCTGGAGTTTTGTGGAATAATTTATATTGGTGTTCTCCAAACACTCCGTGGCCTGTTAAAAATTGATTGAGATAGAAGTTTGCTTGTAGTCTATTTAATTTCGGGTCTTTAAAAAATTTGAATGTCTGTCTCCCTTTCTCGGAACTCCGCCATTCCAGCCCCCAGCGCTTCATGCTATATAATTTAACCTGAGTTTTAATTTGGGCGATGGAGCTTGGGACCTCAAGGGCAACCCGGCAGAGATCGGTGGCTTTCTTAGCTGCTCGATCCGCCTCCTCGTTGCCTTGAGTACCTATATGAGCTTTAACCCAATTGCAGAGTATATTAGATCGCCATAATTGTTTAGTGTTTTCAACAATTAGAACAATTATATACAGTTAATGTTCGATTGTTATTATTATTTGTTTTTTTGTCTTTCGTTTGTTTCGAATAATACGTGTCGTTTACTTATTTCTACCGCAACCGGTCATTTGGCCGAGAGAAAAATGTATTGCTTTATAAGGCTATCGGATCAGAAGTGACGGTGTCATGCGTGTTCGACGTATTGCATTCGATGAGTTGCACGTTTCCGTAAAAACTGTTGCGTTGTTAGTTGAATCGAAATAACTGTGAATTCAAATTTCACGACAGCACCTAAAATTTTAGATAGGCATTTTTGTGTAAGAAAAAGGGACAATTATAATTATTATATATTTTTATAATTATAAGAATAGTTATCAGAATTATAATAATGAGAAGAAATATGTTTGCGGAAAATGTACAATAAAAACACCCAGTATATATGTAAGAATTGGGTTGAGCAATGAATTGAAAATTCTTATTCTTTATGTGTTGTAATACATAAAAATTGGCATTATACAATTTTGTTTAATTATATTAAAGTTGTTTTTGTTTATTTCCTTCCCAACATCCATATTTCATTCATTCAATCCAAAAACATTAAGTTCAGTTATTTGACCGGCTATGATAGAAATAGTTATACATTAAGTGTTGGTATCTTTAGTGTTAAAAGAAATAGCTCTAATCGCGTATTTAAAATGATATCTCGCGTTTAAGACCTAATTGATTATTCAAGCCCTTAACTGAGTATTCAAGTTAAAAGACACCGCTCGATTGCGTCTTACAGAAAATAGCTCCCTAATCATTAAATCCCAAACATCCATTACCATCTAATGTCACTCACTTAAGTAACCTCCTCTTAGTAAGTGGTAAGAAATGGGTCCATTTCGTAGTTCGAGAATTAGCGGGTGGCGCAGGGGAGAAACATAAATATCTAGACCAGCACTCACCAAAGTAATAAAGTTTTTTGTCAACCGAAAGAACAACAGACTTTAATGTTAAAAAAAATCTATTGCATCAGTGGAACTGTTCAATAGGAAAACAGTAATGCAATTTACTGAAAGAACAGGAATTAAAGTTTTTACAAGACCTGATAAGTAATTAGTATAAATACTGTAATTTGTTTTGCTTCTATTTAAAAAGTAGAATGCATACGATTCAATAAATATTTCTTTTAATTGTGTCAAATAAAAATACTATTCACACCATTTTGTGACAATTTCTATTAGATTCAAAGTCATGAAAATAAAACTTCACATTGATATCACGAAAACATTTAAAATGATGAAATAAATCCACATGTGGAAACGAAATCTGTAAAATGAAGCCACACTTCGATCATTCATCCAGCCACTTCGAAATATAATCAAAGGTTTTCGTTCGTTTTGTCGCAAGCCTTGTGTCTAGTAAATAGGATTTAAATGAACTCAAAGAATTAAAAATTAAACAGTTAAGTAAGGCTGATCGTTCTTGGGACAATATACCATCTTCCAGTCAATTCTTAATTTATTTATTTTTTAAGAACAAAAAAAAATTTTTTTTGCTTTTACATTTAAAAAAAATTTGTTTTTCCCTTCATTTTACATTTTTTTCTCACTAAATGCTCCATATGCTAAACCAAAACAGCTGCGGATGTGTGGGTAATTTCCCATCTCTACCCACGACTCACACCAATTTTTCTTCTCGTTGTAACTCTCGAGTACGAGCGAACGACAGTAAGGAAACATCCTCCCGTTCATCACTCCATTTATTTAGCCTCTCTCCATCTCTTGTTTTCAATTCATTTATAGTATTTTAAGATCTTTTTTTATGGCTTTGATGGTTCTAATCAAAAACTTGTTTCACTTTAAATTTCTCAGGTACCCTTTGCAGTTTTTTTTATTTGGTTTTTAATTGCTTTTTCGAATGATTTCTGCTAGACATCTTTTCAAGACGTAGATTAGCTTTGTAAATTTGTAAAGGGTGTCATAAAGCTTTTTTGAGACATTGTTTCTGACTGCTTACTCTACTGATGTGGTTAGTTCATGCATAATGCATAAATCATGCACAAAATTCAAAATATAAAAACTAAAATAATTACAATTTTTCGATCATTATTTTTGGTCCCTGTCGGTGGCTTAACGTTATTAGATTAAGCGAAACACGTTTTCAGTGGTTCACCCCATCAAAATAAGGATGTTCAGTATCATTTGGCATGATTCGTGGTCAGCTCATGATGGTCAAGATTAACTTCAATCAAGTCATGTTTTCGGATACTGTTCCAATTCCCATAATATAATACAAAAAGTGCCTGTTATCAAATACAACCTTTGCGCCAATAATAACATCGCGATATTTTACTGATTTTCTCCTGAACTAATTAAAACTATTTCTCTATTATTTTTACTTTTCAGAAATAGCTTACTTTCAGTACTAGTTATTATCTCAATTAATAACCGAAATTAATCAAGCATTATTAGTTTCAATAGGAGCCGCTTCTCCTAAATGAAATACAGTCAAACCACGCTATAGTGAACCTTCAAGGTAGCAAAATTTCGGTTTACTATAGCCGTGCCGCAAACAATTTTAAATAATGGTCCCCCCTTTTAATACACGTTATTTAAATAAATGACCCCTAAAAGGAAATACAAAAATGACTGAAAAATAATACGTAGTATCAAAAAAGGTGTTAACTTTTATTTCTTATGACTTGTCTATGTCTTGCGTACCAAAAAAATAGTCATCTTTAGCTGATGAACAATCCTCAGCATCAGATATGGAAAAACTCTTCCCGACTCTCCCATAATATTTCCTGAATTTGTGTTATTCCGCTTTTTAAACCTGTCTAACCAGCCATTCGAGCACATAAAAGTAATCTCACATTTGTTCAGATACAGGAAGACAGCGGCTTCTTCGAATGCTGAGCCAATTCAACAATGCTATTCAATAATAAAGCAAACGAGAAATAATTGCTTGTTGCTACATGCCATGCCTACAGATGGTTTTAAAAATTGGTATATGTATTTATTTTGAGGTAGAATTTTCAAAATTATTACAAAAAAAAATGAAGAAAATCAAAGACAGAAAAAAGTTCTTACTATCCAACTTTCTCTCTTTTTTGGTTCACTGTTGCCACAAAAAATAACATTATATGTGTGTGTAGGAAGGCACAGGAGCGAACATTTCGCTCACTATATCCGGGAGTTCACTATAAACCATGTACACTATAGCGGGATTTGACTGTAGTTCTATTTCTTGGCGAACTCCCAAGAGTTATCTGTGGTATTTCGCAACGCCACAGACAACGTAAAGTAGTTTGATGTAAAATAGTCACCAGTTTTGGGTGTTAAGATAAACATGTTGTTGTCTCTTAACAGTCAAATGCTGGACGTGTCTCTGCTTCGAAGTCCGACCTTCCTGTTGTTGGGAGCTGCCGGATTTCTGACCCTTGCCGGATTTTTCATACCCTTCATGTTCGTCGTGGACCGATCTGTGCAGTCTGGCGTCACGCTGGAGGAGGCCACCTACATCCTGCCTGTCATAGGCCTCACAAACACGGTGGGGAGAGTATTCTGTGGATGGATATCGGACAGGCCGTCCCTCAACGCCCTCACCATCAACAATGTAGCTCTGGTCATCGCCGGTCTCATCACTGCACTCAGCACCTGTCTGGACAACTCTCTGCCACTTCTACTCGCCTATGGTGCACTCTTCGGATTTTGTATAGGTATTTTCTTTTTATTTTATTTCTCTGCAGGTTATACTGTGAGTTGTCGTTCATTTACGTCGCACTAGAGTCTGCATAACGGTCTGGGAAACATCCCTGATCCGGAGACAATTTTGATCTTCCTGCAGAGGGAATGGTCACTTCGGTGATAATATTCATATTGGACCAGGTATTATATTACCGTGTACTAGTGTGCCCTATCAGGGGAAGCATCTATCGGCTTAATAGGGGGCCCAAAATTCGGCCCTACAGGATACTATGTATATATA